CTCTTAGGAGAGAAAATCTCTTGTAAGTTTTTGCAAGATTCTGGTGTTCTTGCATGAGTTCTGCCTGGTGCATGCGCCTGGAATACAGACAGTCTGCCTGTTTATTAGTTTCTCAGATAATGCATGTGTGAAGTGGGTTTCATCTTTCCCTTTGTCTGACTGGACTTTGAACAATAGGATTGACCGATGCAAGTGTTACAGAAATTGTTAGGTGAATATTTGTCTCTTTCTTGAATTCTGTGCGTGGATCCTGTGCTGAATGTGTGCCATATGAGTGTAAAGGATGCTGTATGCAGTGCCAGTATTCCTACATGAAGTCCTTAGGCAAAATAAATGTGATTGGGTTAGGCAGAATAATATCGGAGGAAGATAAACTTTTATTTTAAAAAAATCTGGAAATGTTTTTGCCTTGCAGCAATGATGTGAAATAACAATATGTTAAGTTGGAGAAAGCAGTTACAATGTAGGGCAGAGACAAGCAACCTTTAAGACATGGAATTTTGAGAGAATGGGGCTGGTTTTCCAAAATGGCTTTCATGGTGAGCAAGATCAAGAACACAGACAAGTTGTGATACTCCTCACATCCCCTGGCACCTCAAGACTTCCCTGTAGGAATAGATATTATTTCTTTTTGTTTTCCTTTTGCATCTTAACACTTTTTAACTGAATATTTTTTTATACTTTTTAACATAGAGTTTTTATTTGAATTGAAGTGGTTTGCATTGTAATCACTTCATATTAACAAGGTCCTACAAGCAGAATTGTAGACCACAGAAGGGGCAGCAACCAACTAACTTCTCATTTTCTACTATCTGGCCCAACCAGACCATGACACACACTGTGTCTGCACATACATCATCTTCAACAAGCGTAAGGACCTCTACCCCCATTGGAAGATGATACTGCATCTGAGGAACTTTATCTCATAACTCATGTGCTAGAATGAAGGCTCTTTCTTATTTTAAATGCCACAAAACGGTTTGTTGTTTTAGGTATTGAAGATTCAGTGTGTCTGGTTAGACAACACAACCAACTTAGCCAGCTTCTCTCCTGGAGTATTGATTTAGTCTCATGTATTACCAGTGCATAATTAATTATTAAATTTGTATGCCACCTGACTCTGAACAACTTCGAGACGCTCACAACAAAGAATTACGATAAAATCAATAAAAATAAAGATAAAAGATGGCAAGTGTGATGAACTCTATCAGTCTTGCAGAAACAATTGAAACAGTCCTAGCTACTCTGAAGGAATCTAGAAGATTACTCCATCATGAAAGGAGGACCACTAAGACATCTCCATCCTGTTTCTCATTCCTTTACAATTGCAGATGGTGACAAACATAAAAAGGAGGTTAAGTAGTAACTTAGTCAGTTTGATTTAGTAGTTAAGGCACCAGGCTAGAAACCAGGAAACTGTAAGTTCTAGTCCTGCCTTAGGCATGTAAGCGGGATGAATGCTTGTCACTCTGTCTTAGCCAAACCCATCTCACAGGAGTGTTCTTGTGAAGAAAATAGGAGAAAAAAGTTATTAGGTATGTTCACTGCCTTATTTATAAAAATACAATGTGGCTCAAAAATTCATAAATAAACAAATAAATATCCAGAGAAATTCTGTCTTTTTAGGACCTCTCTGGATTTCAAGATTAATTGAACTGAATTACAATGTTCACACAACAGCCTTTATCTTGACTCAATTAAGCTGTCATTCATAAATTAACAAATGTCGATTTTATGTACATATTTTTCATGTCATGCTCTGTGTGTGTGTGGATATTTTTCTTAATTCTTTTTCTCCTTCTTGACAATGCATAAATAGCCCAAAATGGAATTATGAGTTGGTGCTTGTAGAAGTATGATCAAATGTCTTGGAACAGTGGAACCCTTCTACAAGGAACCATTCCTCCTGCTGCCCTTGTTAATGTTAAAAAGAAATTGTCTCTGGCAAAGAAATTGTCTCTGGCATCGATAGCGATGGCTGCTGGAGACAATACTGTTTATTTTCTCCTTTCCCATTAAAGGAAAATCAGTCTGCTATGTCCCCGTCTTGCCATACTTTTGTTTTTGTTTTTTAAAGAAGTGCTAAATAGTTGTACCATTCCTATAAACAACGACTCCCTTCTTTTCCACAAGCTAATCATATTTTTCATGATAGCTCTGTAATGCTATAATGCTAAATTAGCTGGCATTAAGCCTTATCCACCGAATACCATATAGTGCTGAAGAAAAATATGGTATTTTCCTTTTTTTCCCACAGGAGGTTTTGATGGAATGAAAATGTGTGAAAAATTCCAAACCAATAAAGATCCTTGCTGTTGCACTCCTGCTGGTATGCCCTCAGCACAGGATGCTCATTAAACCTAAAGAGAGCTCCTATCTTTACAGCAGACACAACAGAGGGAATTAGCATAGTTAATTAAGGCTCTTGATGAATGGCATTGTAAAGTTTCTTAATTAACCAATGACTCCTAGGGGGGAGATGGTCTTAAACCAAGGTTGAGTTAAAATGTTTTCCTTTTTGTGCATTTAATTAGCATAATCAGAAGTGCTGTTTTTTTCATTGTTGTGTGTAGAAAGGTAGGTTTTTTTTGAGATATGCTTTACATATGGGAGCATGTCAAGAGAAGGCTAGAACAGATATCATCATGTCTTCTCTTGAGTTAGCATAGGAAGCTGCAGACTATAGAAAGATAATTAATTGCCAAGCAAGAAACAAGTCACTCACCTATCTTAAAACTAAAGCAAGTGCTGGAAACGACAAAGAAAGCAATCTTATCAGATGCAATAAGAATAATTGAAAGTAATGCAATAGAAGTTTTTTGACACAGTGGTAACATCTGCCTTGATAATAAAATAACTTGTATTTGTGGGATGAAAATGGTACTTCCTTTTTTACAGTCTAGCCATCATAGCCCCTGTATTGGTTGGTTGGAAAGAAAATATCAATACAGCACTGATTATATTACTGAGTTGGATAATAAAACATTATCAAGTACTCAGGCCAGCTGAGAGACTATCAAGGACTCCACAAAAAATATAAGTAATATCCTGCTATTTCCCTCAATAAAGAATTGAAGATTAGGGCCAATTTCTTAACACTTTTTATTGCCTCAGTTCTCTGATGGGACAAAGGATTTGTTTATTTATTTATAAAATGTATATACTTCACTTTGGATAGCTCTAAATGCTAAACCTTAAAATAACAGTACAACACGCCCTATTCTTATGCAAAAACTATTAAAATCAATACATTAAACATAATAGTGTATTTTATCGGTTCTGTATATGCTAAAGGGGGAGCTGTTATAGATTTTCCGTTAAACAATAGAAGCTTTCCCATATAGCTGTGTTTCTTTCAGAATGAAAAACTTGGCTAAGAAAAGAATTGAATTGCTTAGACTAGTTTGCTTAGAGGGTCTCTGGTTGGGTACTTTTTGTTTCTACTTTCACAGCTCATCGCTCTGTAGACTCTGTGTGCTTCTTATTCCTTGTATCAATGACCACACTGAAGCATACTGAAAATGTTAAATCATTTGCTTAAAGTTATACAGGCTAGAAATTTAAATCCATGCAGGTTGAATCCACTTATACCTGATTTTCAGTTTTGTCTGATTCTAGGGCCCTCAGTCAGGAATCTAGATTCTAGATAAAGAAACAAGTATTGCGTAATAGGAGGAGTATCTAATTTTGAAGTCCTGTAGGGTAAGCAATGGGTTGATAATATGCCTGCAAAGTACTGGTCACCAAGAAACCAGATTTTTTTTAGGAAATACCAACACATCTAGAGAAGACGAAAGTGAAGTATATAGTATAAGCCTGAGATATGGCACAATGTTATATCATGGTAGCTTGCAGTGCTTCAAATCAATCATATATCTGGCATTTAGATGTTTTTGGTTTAAATCGTATGTTCCATCTTTTCTCAGACTTACACACATCAGTTCTAATCTTGTGATTTTTCCCGTACTTAACTTGCAAGATCATTAAACTGCTTTTGATTCAACATTTCTTCTACTTGGATAGATTTTTAATTCTCTAGAAAATGTCTTTGAATGCAACAAAGACAAATTTCAAAGAATTATTTTAACAAAATAATTCATAATAATAAAAATAAACTACAGATAACCCAGTAAATATTTTTGTGGTTTGACTTGTTGGAAAATGCCTGTAATAATTAGAATCTGTTCATAAAATAAGATGTTATGAAAAATATACCTATGATATCAGTAACTAGAGAATTAAAATGTCACTTTGAGTTTCTTGGGGAGATAACAGAGGATAAAACTAAATCCTTTTTGAGTCAATCAAGTTACATGATATAGCAACATTTGGATCTTGTTATTTTATCGTCTTATATTCCTTCTCATATTACCATATATGATAAGTATCTTCATGTAGTTTTACTAAAGTTTCTGTTTCTTGAACTTTTAGGTAGCTTAGAAGTTTAAAATTCTTGCCATTTTAATATGTTTTACATATTATAAAATGATCAAGTATATAAGTATTTGAAATCTGGGGGTTTAAAGAGAATGGATAATTGCTTGAGGAGAGGGGTTAAAAAGGCCCTTTTAAAATGTTTCCTCTTTACCGTGCTGAACCTGCCAATTGATGGAATAAAGGGGCTACTTCAAAAGGCAAGGTGGATGACCTTCAACTACTGCTTTGGCAACCATTTTGCTGTGACTAAACTACACAGTTCTTAGGAATGTCTATATGCAGGCTGGTCCCATCTTCCTTTTACAGATACAGGTTTGAGTAACCTTGTTGAATGTTTTGCAACAATGTTTAAGGTTATTTTTTTCTCTTTGATCCTGAGATCATTTGTGAATAATTTTCAAAAATAGAAAATAAACTTAGGTACCCCCATTTTCACATCTCATTTGGATAAGAATTATGCTTCTAAAATACCTGCTTATGGGTTGAATGGGATATACAGGATTGTGACTGATCTCAACATTCAGGGCTACTATTCAATCTCTAATTGTTGTTTTCCTTTACAGTTGGGAAGACATCCCTGATCACAAGATTCATGTATGACAGTTTTGACAACACATATCAGGTTAGCTGTTTTATTTTCAATCACATGCTATATGCTAATGAAGAAGAATGTTTCTGGGTTAATAGGCTGTGAATGTGAAAGCTTGCATTGATATTTTTTCTAATTTTATTTAATAGCAGTGCTGCATACCGATTAAATTATTATTTGTTGTTCAGTCAGCCAGATGTTCAGACCGGATTTGGCATTTTTGTCCACCTATCGAGTCCTTCCCAAGGACCTGGGATAAGCATATATGAACATTTGTTAGTGTTAAAGGTATTGTCATAGGATATAAGCTGTTCCAAGTAATATTAACTGCCTTTTTCAATTGACTAATGGTGTTTTTGTCAATGCTGATAGTATTCAATTGATGCTCCAGTTGTTTTGGAATTGCGCCCAAGCATCTATTGCTTTTGGTACGCCTTAGCTTTCTTTTGCTACAGTCATTCTATTTCTGTTTGCAGGTCTTTGTATTTTATTATCTTATCCAGTTCTTTCTCTTCTATTTTGCTGTCTGCAGGTACTGCCATGTCCACTATGCAGACTTTTTTGTCTTTCTTTTATTCTTATTAGCCACCTGAAACCTGAAATTTCAAAATTATCTTCAAATAAAAAGCTCATTGCAGTAGACCAGCCTTTCAATTAACAAGTATATGAGTTACCAAACCCAATCTGCCTTCTTCAGAGATAGATGTCCCTACTTTATCAGTCAGAGCCTCTAAAACCATTCTTGCCACTAATAATATGCGGCCATTCAGCATCAGTGATAGATCCAGAACAACCCCTACAGTACAATTGTATAACTTAATTGGGAATACAATTCCATCAAAATCAAGTGTATTTCCCAAAACCCCTGCTCCCAGTTATAGCTTCATCTTACTTAAATTCAGCTTCTGGTTTATTTTCCCATATTCACATTTTTATGCCTGGATAAATTGGAATGTCTACTACATGCAGACCTGAGTCCATAGGAAAAATACATTGAGAAAATAAATATAGCTGAACATTATCAGTATATTGATGACACTAAGTTCCAATTGTGTGAGTGATCCTTCCCTATACAGCTTCATATAGATATTAAATAATATGGAAAACAAAGTGGAACCTCAAGCAATTTCTGTCTCTAGTAGTTAGAGATAAAATGATAACTACTGAAGACAGCATCCAAGACTAAAAATTTATTAAAACTGAGCTTTCATCAGGGCCTGCTGACATCATCAGGATGTAAGCCAGGAATGGGAAGCACATTCTTATAGTCTCTGTGAAGCTAACAGTTTAGCTAATGAGCGCATGATGGGTCTATTCGGCCTCCACTCTCCCGCAATCAGTTGTATCGATCCTATTTCTGTCAGGCTGGCTGACGTCTCTTTAAGTTTTGGCGCTCTGCCTCTCTCCACTCGCCCCGTCCACCGGGAGCATTCGTCTTGCCGCGCGCAATCATCTCGCCGCTCGAGTGACTCTTCCGCCTGCGATGCTGCCATTTCGGCTAGTCACTCCTCCATTGTGCTGGCATCTTTGTCCTCGTTGGTCAAGCACCCTCTCCTAATGTCCATGGGTCTGGTCTGCCTCCTCATCCCGTCCTGCTGCGCCGATGTGTTGGCTAGTGAGAGGTTACGATCCTCTGCCTTCCTGCTCATGCCGGGGGGGGGAATGATTGTTGATTCCTCCATTCAGTCCTCCTACATGATAATACATGCCGGTGCAGCATCTGGTAGGTGGGTAATAGCTCAATATGCCGGTTAACCCAATGTTGATTGGATAACCAAGCCTCTTTTAACAGACGGACGCCCTTGGTTGTATCGTGAGCAATGGCTCTGACCTCTGAAGGTATGGTTGTGCTCGATAGTGTGAGCCCATACCTGAGACCGTTTTTCTTTACGTTTAATGGCCAGCTCATGCTTATGGAGCCTTGTCCGGAGGCGTTTTGTGGTCTCCCCAATGTAGTTACATGAGCAATCATTGCAGTTGATTTGGTAGACCACAGATGACATGTCGCCCGCGGATAGGGGTTCTTTAGGGTGTATTATTTGTGTGCGCAAGGTCTGTGCGCCTTCCTTCCTTCCTTTCTTCCTTCCTTCCGTCCTTCCTTCCTTCCTTCCTTCTCTTCTTTTTCTTTCCCTCTTCATTGTCCTTTCCTTTTTCTTCCTTCCCCTCTTTCCTTCTTTTTCTTTTTCTTTCCTCTTTCCCTTTCTCTTTTCCTGTCCCTTCTTGGATGCTCAAATGCAAAAGGGGAAACATTTCTCAATGCCTCCTTGTCTTGTGATCAAATGTCACTTTTGCTAGTAGTTTGTTGTCACTTAAAAGATTGAGAACAAACCAGGCTCAGTTTATCCCATGCTTGCATTTAGTGGGAGCATCCACAGACAACAATACAGCAAAACTGTTGAAATTGTGGCTGTGATAGTTGATCAGAGCTCCTCCATTTTTTATGTGCAACAGCTTTAGTATTTAGGAACAGAGATAGCTTAGTTGCTTTTCTATTAATACGTAATCCTTAAAAGAGCTCTCTTGTAGGGACTCAGCCTTGGTCTAATTCAGACTGGAAATATAAGAAAGGAAAATATTTTTCCCCACTCTGCTTTGTCCTGTTTTCCCCACTGGAAATGGCTGTTAGCAACACACAAGGAGGGAATACTTTCCTAAGAGCTCACAATTCAAGAATACCAATGTTAACTTGAATTGCCAACAAAGTTCTGACAAAACAAAGTTGTGACAAAACAGAACACAAAATTGCTTTCCCCTTCGAACTGGGGCATTTACAACCAAGTTGTCTCTCCTCCCTTCCTTCCTCCCCTGCTTTTTAAAAAAAAAACTGCCAGAGGCTCTGGGCAGAGGTGGCAACAGATAGGCAGCGGTGGACAGAAGCTTCACATTTTGACCTCTCCCCCCTATTGTTGCCTCTGCGTGGCTCTCAGCTCACTTCTCCCAGACCCACGCACGTGTTTATGTATGTGTACGCATGGGAGGGTCTCACCCCTTGCAGCCCTGTGCCCTCAACAGAGACCTTCTGGGATGGCAGGCTGCAAACTAATGAAAGCTGGTTTTTTTGGGAGTACTTGTTTTTTTTCTCAACATGCCGCCGATCGCATTGCGCCCTGCCCCCCTCAGCTCCCGCCCCCAGCCCCGTGGAAGGCTGCAAGAAGCTCCCATCGCAGCTTCTCTTATCTCTCCTGTTCGTTTCCTCCCCAATGTCACAGAGTGGGGCTGCAAGGAGTGACACCCCCCATGCGCATGTGCGCACACACACACACACACATACACACCTGTACACGGATCTGGGAGAGGCGAGCTGAGAGCCATGCAGTGGCCCTTCAGGCACAGAGGCAACAAAGTGGGGGAGGGGTCAAAATGGGAAGCCTCCTATCTGGAGCCTCGGGCAGCTAAAAAAAATACCTGAGAAGCGCTCAGAAGGCAGTCCCTTTCCCAGCTCCTTCCTTCTTTCCTTCTTTCATTTCCTTCCTTCCTTCCTTTCTTTCTCCCCTTCTTTTCTTTCCTTCCTCTGCACTTAGGAAGGGATGATGGGAGGGGGAGAGATTGCCAGTGCTTGCTCGTGGCCACGCTGCCACTGGCCATCGCTATCCCACGCAGGCAGGGGCGATCCCATTAAAAGGGAAGCCTGGTGGCTGCAAGGCTAGGTTAGTGAGTGGTCGTGGTGCTGATCTACTGCTGGGGTCCATCAAAGCCAGAATGCGCTCAGCCTTAGATCCACAGGGTAGCCCTGGAGCCAGAAAGGATCCCCCCGCCATCTCTGCTCCGCCCCCTGGGGGGGTGCACGGAGAAGGCAGCGAGAGTGCTGGCAGCCTGGAGGAAAGGGAAACACTTCTCTTGCCTTTTTTCTTTCACAGTGATCAACAGGGATGGTCAGCAGGGATGCCGGGTGATCGCTGCCTCCTCTTCGTATGCCCAGGGGGCGGGGCGGGGGCAGCCCTTCGCTGGCCCTTTCTCCGTCAAAACCTCCTTTTATATCCTCTCCTCTCTCCCCCCTCCTCTGCTTTTTCTCTTCAGCGCACCTCCAGCTTCCAGAAGCACTGATCAGCTGGAGCCTGGCACTGATCCTGGGGTTTCTGCCCAGCCCTGACAGCCCTGCAACTTCAGCTGTCTCTCCCTCAGGCTTGTGTGGTGCTGCCGTTTCAGCTCATTCCTCTCCCCTCCCCCCCGCTACCACTTCTCTGGGACGGTCACGTACCACCTGCCAGGTGCCAAAATACCACCTGCTATAAACCAATGGTACTTCCTGCAATAGATAAGGCTTCTATTGAATAATAAATGGCCTCTCAGAATAAAGCACTGAAAATCAAAAATAAGCAAGAATTCATCTAGTCCAGATCAAGAATAAGAAATCAGAAGGGGTGAGAAAAGCAGTCCTTATTGTGCCATATAGGTTAATCAGCTCCTGTGCTGATCATTTTTTCCTTAACCTACAGAGCTAGTAGCTTCTAGCTAGGTAGGAAGACTTTTTCTATGACCATATGTTCACAGTTTACAATTTCAAACAGGTTTCAGCCAGCCTAAAAGACTGTTGGCCTTCAGCTATCATTTCCTCTGCCATCCTAGGTTTAAAGAGCCACCTGACTCCATCATAGTGGCAATTTAATGTGGTAAACAAACTCCCCTTTCACCTTTTGACAGGCAATTTAAAATGCATCGCAGGAGCTGCATTGCTTGAGTGAACTTAGTAGATTGATTTTCTTGTTAAACCCTGCTTCAATTTCCAGAATAGCTTTGTGGGGTTTACAGTGTGGCATCTTTTCTCACAATATTTTTTACATTCTTTTCTGGCCACTTGAATTAGATACCAATAAAGAACATGCAAGGGCTAGAGATGGAGGCAAAATTAATTTAGTTTGCATTTAAATTCAAACTATCTAATCTTTATTTTTCAGTCAGGCCAGTTATTTAAAGTTAATCGACCTCCGAATATCTCAATGTACTTTTTCCAACAAATGCAAAGTTTATATTGGTGAAAAACCTGTACAAATTGCATATACTCATGAATTTGTAAAAACATATCATTTATTAAACTTGTTTAAAAGAAGTATAGATCAGGCTACATTGTAAACTAAAGTTGCATAGATTTTAGCATAGATTTTCATAATCAGATTTGATAAATGAACTTGGAATATTTTAAAACATGCAAAACTGAGGTAATATGTTCAAGGGTTGTAACTTCAGAGTGACTATTCCTTATTACAAATTAAAAAACTGCATATAAGGGACAATGTTGTAATTTTCATATATCCACCAAGTACAATACAGCCTGATGTGATATACTCCTAGGCTTACTGTACTCTATGCTTCATTGTGTTATGTTTCTCAACCCTAACTAGTCTTCTGACTGGCTCTTTTGTTGTGTTTCTTTGTCCTTGTTCTTTCCTGTTTTGTGGCTTTTCATCGCAGAGGAAGAAGTCATGTGTTCTAGGAAAAAAAACATGTGATTATAACACTTTTTCTCCTTAATGGCTAAGAAATTGGTATAACAGCACAAGCCATTAAGCATTGACCTCCTGATTTAGGCTATAAGGCAGGACAACTTTTTGATTTGTGATATATGATTTTAGCCTTGCTGTTTTCATGGTTTGCAGACAAAATGGCATCCGTTCTGATATGCAGAAATGAAAGCACATTCATCTGTATTCAGAAAAACACATCTAATTGCATTTAATTTCTACATCTTGCAAATGAAGCAGTTGCATGAAGCAGAAATTGAAACTGGGAGAGAAAAGCAATCAGGACAGCACATATGAAAATTCAGGGGTTGAGGGAAATATTGTTTAGCTCATGGCCCCACTTTACAAAATGCTTTACAGATGCTGCAACCTCTTAGAATTTGTTGCCCACCAACATTGCTATTTCTAATACCAGCCTAGAAGCCTCTAAAGTGACTACAGATTCGTAACTTTTTTCTGTTGTATTGGTTCTCTTGCTGTTGACTAGAAAGTGACTAATTTTTTGCATACTATATGTCCTAGTGGATTTAATTTCAATATTTCTAAAATACTATTTCCTTTTGATCTGCAAAAGAAATGCAAACTCTTGATTTTCCTTGTTTAAATATTTTTTCTTGAAAATACTTATGTCTGGAGATTAAATCTGCATTCTTAATTTCATGTATAACATGGCTTGTGTTAAACATACAGTATTTTAAATCAGCTGTTTCTTGTGAAATCTTGGGAAGGCATGCCTTGAAAGATGTACCCAATATAAATGAATGAAGTAAATAAATGAATGAAGTAAATAAAACGAATACATTTCTGTTAATGTGGAAGGAAAAACAAGGGAGTCATCTACAATGTGAATGGGTCTCCTGGCCAATATAGCCATTGCAACCCAATAGCACGTTGCATATTAGAACCCAATTGAAAAAAAGAGATGCTTTGAGCTTTGTGTGTGAAAAAGCCCACTCTTGCTATCTAAGAAAAAAATGCCTAAGTAATGCTTTCAAACAGCTCTGGCTTCAGACTGATTTTGATACTGATCTCATGTGGCAGGGATTTCACACAAGAATTGTCATTTAATGCAGCATCCAAGACAATATTCCTGGAACAGTTCTCTCTTGCTTTTACTTTGAGCCTCTGGTATACAATATATGATGAATCTATGCATTCATCACGTATTGCAATAAGATTTGCTGTGAGTGTTTTGGTTTGTAGTTCATGCTCTTAATTTCTTAGTTTCGTAGGTTTTCCCAACTTGACAAAAGGAAAGTAGCTGCATCTTTTCCCATTCCAAAGAGATTACCTGAAATAAGCTGGATAGCAGGAACTGGGGATGGGGGATGGGGATGAAACAATTTCTGCATGAGTGGAGATCCAGGTGTGTGACTTAATAGAACTTGTCTTGAAGTAAATGAGAGGGAAATCCTAAAAGGCAGTTTCCAGAAAAATTAAGTATATTATTAAGGACCTCTGGAATGCATACCCATGCTGTAAAACAATTATAAGAATGAAACCTGATATAAATATTGATGATAAATGGAACTATACATAAGAGCAACCCCCACACACAAACACTGATAGTAGAGTTAAAATCCTTTGAAATTAATGTGGCACTGGTATTGTATCCCAATGCTTTTAGCAAACAAATAAAAATACTTTATCTATGGACAGCAGAAAGAATATGGCTAAAGACATTTGGTAAGGTTGCCCAAAGACCAAACAATTTTAGTGGGCAATCTTTAAGGAGATCAGTATCTGTTCCATTAGCTCAAGCAATAGTAAAATATGCATTTTATACTTGTTCAAAGAAGGAAATAAAAATATTAAGAATACAGATATTAGGTTTATGCTAATAACAGCAAGAATTATTGATATTCAGAAATAAAGAGATAGGAATCTCAACACTGGATTTTTGATACTCTAATTTATTAGTATTGTTTCAATGGAAGTGTCAAAACTGACTCGGCTTCATCATTGCCTGTACCTGATTTTGGCTCGCAGTTTTCCAAACAGAAATGGGAGGGGGTTGGTAAATTCCTAGGAAAGGGGGAGGGCTAAGGAATGCACGAGAGCCTGCTGCTGCCTGAGAAGAGTTACCCACCAAGGTCAAGTTCCAAGAATTGTTCAAATGGCACAGACTGTTTTCCCGAAACAAAAGAACTGCATGGAATTGGTGGGCAATGAACTGTGGGTTGCCCAGAGAAGAAAAGGGATTTTTACCTATGTCAGTTTTAGCGGGAAAACCTCAGAACTGACTTTGCTTCTGCTGTACCTAGACAGATCTTTCAATAAAGTTTTACTCTTAGTTAACTCTTTGAACCAGGAGTTCCTTCTTTAGAATGTGCCAACTGGGATGGTTGACAGGAAGGACCTATAGATCCAAAAAAATGCATATTCTTTAGGTATAACATTCCTTTTATCTAATTTGTAAATGTTGTGTACATTTTTGTATAAAATAAGAACTAGCAAGGAGGTACTTAACCTCAACAGCAGGGTGAATTTTGTGGCATGAAGATATATCATCTTAAAGGAGAAGGAGTCTTGAATTTGTTATGAAGAACTGTATTTTTTAATAAAATCCTTTTTTTGTATTTGTTTTAAAGATAATGTTCAGTAGATGGTGGCCTACTTTTGCAATTTCCTTACATACTTATTTAAATTCTGCTGTATTAAAAGTGGTATCTGGCAAAGATTTTCTGGCTTTCCTGCCTCTCATCATTTTTCTCTGATCTCACCTCCAACAGGACCCTTGCAGAGAAATGATTCGGTGCCATTCTTATTCATCCCCAATGGCCCTCCCAAGCCTTTTTGTTGTTCTGTCTTTCTTCTCAAATGCCTTCTTACTCCTGAGATTCAAAGACTTTGAAACTCAAAAGATTATTTGTTTTTCTTATAGCAACTGTGCATATCAGGATCTGGAGCTTAATTAGCTTCCAGACCCTACTGCTTTTCTTTCTTTCATCCCACTCTATCCTTTCTGACAGCTGCAGCTACAAAGCAAATCAATAAAAGGCCATAAAGTAGAAGGACATTATCTCCATCATCTGAACATAGAACATTCCCAAGAAATATAAAATTAAATTGTATTATTAAACTGTAAAGTCAAAATTCTAAGTAACCTAAAAGACTGAATCTAAATTCAGTCATCACTTTCTGCATTTCTCAGGGCAGGAAGCTTAAGTAGGAACTGGTTGTAAAGTAAGGAAGAGTGATAGGCTCTCACCAGAGATACTTGGTGTCCCCTAGGTAGGTAAAATAGAGGCCAAATTCTATGTAAGTGAACACCAGATAAGGCCAAGCCAATCTGAACTAAGGAAGTGTACAGGGGTGGGTGGATGACTCCCTTGTGAGTTTTTTGGTGACCGCCATTTGTACATGCCTTGTTTGTTGTTGTTTGGTCTTCACTATTACTTTTATTGTAAATAAGTGATAAATATTTGTACCTTTATGGCAAGGGTACAATAGACAGCAATTTAAAAATAAGATGGCATTAATATTTAGGTGAGAGGATATGCAGCTACTCAGAACTCATGCCCACCCAGACTATCTGTTGCTATGGAAGTCTAATGAAGGCAAAGAAATGCAATTATTTTAGTGACATGTCAAAATTTCAGCAACAGCCAGAAGTTCTAAATAAGTATTGAATGGAGCTCCTTTGGCCATGGGAATATTTCCTTATTTTTCCTTCACTACAATTTAATGCTGCTTTTTACAGCAATAATAGGCAAGGCAGAATAAACCAATCTGCCAGGGGCATGAAAATGTGCAAATTAAATTCCATCTGTTTCTTTCTATGCTGTGCCACTGAAAATACTCTCTTTGATGTCTGAACTATATCATTCAGCTTAGTACAGCCAGCTGAGTTCAACAATAGAAGATGGATTTTTGTCATCTTATTTTCAAATTCTATTTTTGCATTTCTAAAAAAAACTTGAATAAACACAACTCATTGTGGGTACTACTAACCATATGGAGTCAGTGCTGTGTTGGCTTGGTAAATATCGGCCAGCTGCCTCTGGAGAAAATGCCTTTGCAAACTGCAGCACACACTGTTTGATTAACCAGCTAAACTCAGAAGCAGATGTGACTTGAAATCTGAACTTCTCCACCTGAGCGCCATCTGACGCAGCCCCTTTTAATTACACTGGTCAGCTTTGTGGTCCCAAGGTTGTAGAGCTCCTTTGTCATGTACAAATATATCATGCATATTTGGCTGGGAAATCAATGTGAAATCAAGTAATAGAAAATAACTAGTATTTGTGTATATTATATCAAGTAAATGCTATTATTTTGCAGCTAGGGCCATATTTAAAAATCAAAAACTTCCAAGGAGCACAGCAGGTATAGTGATGATGTGATGAGTAGCCCCAGGGTGAGATAGGCAGCATATAAATTTAACAAACAAATATATATGCTGCAATATTTGAATTCACCTGTTGAAGCAGTATAATGTAGAAATAATTTTGAATCAAAATAGTTGCTGACTTTTCTTCCATTTTCCCTCTTTTCTTACAGGCTACAATTGGAATTGACTTCCTATCTAAAACCATGTATTTGGAAGATCGGACAGTAAGTAGCAGGAAGTGCTGAACTGCTGAGATTATCAAGCTCTGTGTTCAGAAAGAAATAGTGGACAAACATCAAGTGGTTTCCATGCTAACCCTTCCCCCCTTTGATCAAACTGATAATTAACTTATCCATTGACAGTGTATCATACCTAGTAGAGGGTTGTTTTTGATATATTGCTCTGGATCTTCTTAGGAATATAGTGTCCTAAAAAAAATTGGAATCACACCTTTTCCACCTGGCCTCTTGTTGTTTTTCACGAGATTCTGCTGTTGTTCCTTGCGATGCTGAAGTAGGACAAATGAACAGAATTCAGGCTAGCAATTATCACCTTCCGTAAATAATGACTACAAACCCCATGGATTACTGTAAAAGTCAAAAAACATTTATCTGGGATTTTGGTTGAATCTTAATTTAGGGATTAGCAACTTCACTGCATTCCTTCCATGGCAATAAATAAAGTCACCTGTGAATTGAGCTTGACTGCAGATAGCTTCAGGGGTGCATCACATTGTTTGCTTGACAAAAGTACCAGAATGGTTTGACATTACTCTCTTCCGGATGTATTTTTGACTTTGTAGTCTGGAATATTGCTATAATATTTCATGGTAGTCTCCCATCCAAGGCTCCGTTTTCTTACTTGCCGTTAGCATGATTGCCTGCCATCTCTGGGATGAGATGGAGCGTGCAATTTCTTCAAAGAGGGACACGTGGCCTCTTAACTGGCAAGCTTTTCTTAAGTGCCTATGTTTTGAGGTTTCTATTTTTTCTTAGAACTGTCACTGCCCCTACTTAAAAAAAACCAATTTATAATTTGGGGAGAACCTTTTTGTAAGGATAATCCAATGTCAACACAGATGGACATTAGCAATAATGAGAGAGAAGCAGCAGCGGCACTGCATTAATCAGTAGCATCTGGTACAGTGTTAATGCAGTCTCAAACATCCATCTTAGTCCTAGTGGATTGTTTCCAAGGCTTTCCAATTGCTTTTATGAAAATGATAGACTGAGTATAATAGAAATGCAAGAGCAAAATTACTGGTAAATTTCCCTAAGCTGCCCCACAGTTTGTATGATCTAAGAGCTGGAAGATGAATACTGTAGCTTTCTTATTTCTGCTATCCTTTCATCAGAAGATGCAAGCTAGGGCAGTGGTGTCAAACTCACAACGTCACATGACGTATTGTGACTTTTTCCCCCATTGCCAGGAATGGGGTGGGCACGGTTTTGGTGTGACGCATCTGGCCCATGGGCCGGCAGTTTGATACCCCTGCCCTGGGAAAAACAAAGTCAAATGTCCCATAGGGTAGGTTACCTGCATTCAGACTATGTTTAATGAAGCATTCCTTTGACAAATATTCCTGAGTCAGTTTGTATTTTGTATATGTGTAAAACTCTTGTGCCCAATTATACTTTATGATGACACAATGCTTGAGTATTCCTGGAGTACTGATTCTCCTGATCCCTCTAATAATGCAGATAGCTACAGATCATGTTGCAAATCTCATGAATCAATGCAAATATGCATTGCCCAGGCCTTTCTTTCAGTGAAACCTGGCCGTGTCTTTTGTGATACTATTGTAGTCTGATCCCAATTGCTTTTTAAAACCAACTATTGCAGCATCTCTCCTTCAAATTTCTATCTCAGTGGCCTCTTCCTTTTTGTTCATTATATCAAACTTTCATAGTTGCAACATTTTTAATATGTTTTTAAGATGCCAAGTTTTTAAAATAAGAATTTTTAGATATTTCAACCTCATACTTTAAAACATACAACCTTTTCTGGATCAAAGATTCTGTGAAGATGGAGTACAAATCTGTCAAAGCAGATAATATGTCCAAAATTTTAAAGTTTTCTTCTCAAATTCCATACATAAATTAATTCTTCGCCCTCCCTTCTTCAAATATTCCCTATTTTAAATTTTGTGCCAAAATTGCAAAGCTTAATTTTGATGTACTTTCTGCTCTATCCACAGGGAACAATTACTTTTTTTCTAATCAAAACAAACAGGTTGGGGGAAACCAATGTACAAGATACATTTCTTCCCATGCATGTTCTATAGATTATAAATACATAAAATTATATGCTTGTAATCTTGTGTGGGCATTACATAAGATTACAAATAATGCTTTGAATAATTAAAAGACATGAATAAAACATTACATGATCAATTTAAAAACAAAACACATGGCTAGAAGCCTCTTTTGTTTAATTCTTTATCACTTTTGTTTTCTCTTCTTCCTGTTGTTTATATCTGTTTCTCTTCCTAATTGTGTGTGTATATGTGTATATGCCTTTCTCTTTGCTGCTCTCCTCCCTTGGCCCTGGCAGGTACGGTTGCAGCTCTGGGACACAGCAGGCCAAGAGAGATTCCGAAGTTTGATTCCCAGTTACATTCGTGACTCTACAGTAGCTGTGGTGGTTTATGACATCACAAGTGAGTTAAGTTTGGATGTGGTTGTCTAAATGGAAATAAACTGTAAAGGCAGTTTTAGTTCAATATTAGTCCTCTCTATAACTGGGGTCCCCAACCGCCAGTCCGTGGACCAGTACTGGTCCGCGGCATGCCAGCAACCGGTCCACACAAACAAGCAAAGCCCCATCTGTGGGATGCAGGCAGAACACAAAACCACGTACCCTCCAGTCGGCGGAAAAACTTTTCTCCACAGAACCGGTCCCTGGTGCCCAAAAGGTTGGGGACCTCTGCTCTATAACATAGTATATCACATTACTCAATATAAAGTGAAACAAATGATTATATTAGACAGATTGTACTGAAAAGATGTGAGATGTAACACTGGAGAGCTTGGCTCTGTTCTCCTTTATGCTACCACAATATTTTAAACTGCAGTAGAATGCAGGAATTTTAAATGTCCTTGTTAGCAGCTTCCCCATCCAGTACTCTTCAGTCTTGTTGAAGTAAAGCTTCCCTCATGTGGACAACTGTAATCCAAGGTATTATTTTTCTTCTGTTTAATCTTATCGATTTGGGGTGATTGCCTGGACAAACCCCTGTGGGTTTTTTTTAGCAAGGTTTTTCAGAAGTGGTTTGCTATTGCCTCTTTCCTAGGGTGAAAGAGAAAGTGACTGGCCAAAGGTGGGACTAAAACTCACAGTCTCTGAGCTTCTAGCCCAATGTCTTAGCCAAACTGGCTCAGTTTATCTGCATTGGAGAAGGAACGGTTGCTGGAATTGGGTATGTCTAGTTCAACGAAGAGAAGGACGAGGGGGGACATGATAGCAGTGTTCCAATTAGAGTCCCCGACGGTGTTTCTTCTCCCTCAGTTCGATAAGAGGTTCCGCGGACTTCCGTCCTGCTCTTCGTTACCCACCTTTGACTAGTTCCTCTCTTCGTTGAATCTTGATTCCTCTTTGAAGGACTGTCAATCTTGTTAATTGGTTACCTTGAACCTGCCTCCAGAAGTGGTGAATGCTCCAACACTGGAAGTTTTAAAGAAGAGACTGGACAGCCATTTGTCTGAAATGGTGTAGGGGTCCTACCTGGGCAGGGGGTTGGACTAGATGACCTCCAAGGTCCCTTCCAACTTTATTATTATTATTAAGAGGTTCAATGAATATTAGAGGCATACCTTAAATTCCTAGCCAGGTGATGGCTAGGGAATTCTGGGATTTGAAGTCCACACATCTTAACATTGCCAGGATTAAGAAACACTGCCTTAAGGAGTAGCTTGATAGTCTAAACAATCCCATATTCTGCTTCCACTATTATTAGACTTGATACCAGTGTGAAGTCTCATGCCAAGTAAAGCAGGAATCCTTTAACTATACGCTGGTTCGTTCCTGGAAAATTAGATCAATGCTTTTTAAATCTTGTTAAGAGTACATTATTTTCTTTTGTGTATGTCAGTGGTGGCGAACCTATGGCACGGGTGCCAGAGGCGGCACTCAGAGCCCTCTCTGTGGGCACACACGCCATCGCCCCAGTCCTAGGCCTTCAGCTGGGTTTAATAAACCTTTTCACTTTAGGCCTCCACTGCCGTGTGCAAAAAAAAAAAAGGTTCAATCAGTCAATTTCAACTTCTCCCGGGAAAAAAAAAGATCTTGCAAAGTTGGAATTGATTGATTGAACTTTTTAGTCCCACCCAGTCGGCTGTTACCACCACAGCCACGCCCACCCAATGGGCCACGCCCACCCAATGGACCACATCCAGCCAATGGGCCACACCCAGCCAATGGGCCACAAAGACCCGGCACTCGACAATGCATAAGTGGGTTTTGGGTTGCAGTTTGGGCACTCAGTCTCTAAAAGGTTCGCCATCACTGGTGTATGTAATACTGATTGCCCACATGGTAAAGATGAATTGATTTATGGGCCGAGTGAAATTAGTAAACAGGCAAAACACTGAAATATCTTCTGATTGGTATTTTTATAAATAGGCTATGTAAGTTTTTGTGGGTCTTTTTTAAAAAAATGACACATTAGTTTATTTCTTTTAACATGTTTGCATCTAAAGCAATGGTACTTTTGATTGCACTCCTGTTTTCCTTTGCAGTATTTATCACTGTAATATTTCTCAGGATGGTTCCAACTGCCATCACCAGAACAATCTGTGGCACTTTTGCTTTAAAACAGTGCTTGTATTTCTTTGATTTATTTTATTTATGTCCCACGCTTTCTTCAAATTACACTTAATTTGTAATATTCACACACATCCATTTTATCCTCAAATAGGCTGAAAGGGAGTGATTGACTACATATCACCTTTTAGCTGATGGTCAGTTTTAATCCATAGCTCTCCAGGCATGATCTACCCATTACAACCACATTGGCAAATCCAGTTCATTAGAAAAGTCTCCCGGATCAGACCTACATTATGGGAAAGGTAGAAGTGCAGCAGTCTTATCTCCAGCTTCAGCTAGACCACAGGGTGAAGGGCCAGTGCCAAGTGCCAGAATATTTCCAAATGATCATTCAGAGAGGCAGAGATGACAGGCATGATAACGTTGGCTGACCTACCCCTAGAGGGACACACTAGACATTTTCCCATGCATCTCTCCTGTGGTTTAAAAAATATACTACAATCAAAACTGTTATGTCCTGGGCCTGTGATTGACAGCAGGTGCAGGAAGCTGCAGAGAGACCCAGGCAGACCACGTGGCTTGCCCGGGCCAGACAGGCTGTCTCCAGCCTACTGCGCTTGCACAGAGCGGGAAAATACGTTGCATTTATTGGCTGACGCTGTTCCCTGCAAAAGGTATAAAAAGGATCAGCGCCATTTTGTGTTGCTCTGTTAAAGCTGAAATAAAGAAGCATCTGTTGTTACTACTGCCTCGTTTCAATGCCTTACCAACGCACAGAACAGAACAAAAACAGATAAATATTTGTGTTTACAGGTGTTTGTTATTCCTTTGATTTCAAAAATGAAGTATTTTTTCCTACATAGATGCATAGTACCTATTCTCAAGAAACAGTATTTAACATCAGGATAGCAGAAGCAATTATATGTGGTGTCTGTAACTATACTGGTGTTATTGCATAAGCACATTTTTTTTTATCAGCAATGGCATCTTTTCCTTGTCTGTAAAAAGTGGTTGTAAAACAGTGAATAGTAGTGTGGAAAAAGAATTATCTGAAATGACCACAACCATCTCAATAAAGTATTCATAAAGTTACTTAAGCTGCACGACCGGTTATCCTTCATGAATTTGTGTACTCCCATTTGTAAGCCATTTGAACTGGTGGCCATCCACAAACCTTCTGGGGGCAAATTCCATAGTTTAGTTCTCTCAGTAAATCAATGACTTTCAGATAGCACTTGCTTTCTTCCTTCCACAAAACCTGTCTCCATGCTGAAGGAGCTACCAAGATAAAACAGTTCTGATCCTGAAATCCTGGATCCAGGTTCTGCCATGAAAACACTAACTTTTTCTGAAGCCATCTCTCGCCTTTGTATTGTTCTTATTGAAATGAACATAAGAGGAGCGGAAAGTGACAGAAAGGAGGATGTGCCTCCCTCTGGTGGCTCCAGCTGACCAGTGCAGTTGAGGAGTGAACAGACAAAAGTGGTTCAGTATAAATGCTCCTTTTCTAATGGATTGCTTTGGAAGGACTGAGAGCATTGCTTTGGTTGCTATAGTTGCATTAGCTCTGTCTCTAACTGGCAACTGACTCTCTTAGACAAAAATGTAGGCATCAGTGATTTGTCGAATAAGAAAGCTTGGGCCTCCTGCCACAGTTTATTTGTCTTAGAAGAACTTGTGGTTGAAGCTGTTGCCAGTGAAGGTATACACAGAAAATTAGCTATGTGAACAAAAGACACATGCGACCAAATAGTCTACAAAACAAGAATAGTGGGGGGAAAAGCATTACTGTACTTGGAATTTACAGCTGTGCTACACAAAATGTCTTTCCCAAGGGATACTTTATCAGAACAATGTCTGGATGCGGCTGCAAGTTACTAATACAGAAATGCTTAAAATGTTAGTATTAGTTCTGTTTGTTTGTAGCTTGTGGTTGAAAAATAAATTAGTTGTAAATTTTATAAATGTTGCATGTGATATTCATGTTTTAAAATTAATTGGCTAGGGGGAGGGGGAGTAATAATCTGTGTTTTGATGAAAAAAATTCAGCTGAGAGAAATTTCTCAGTTGGCATTAGTTCTATTTCTTCTATAGGCAAAGATGAGGTGCTGCTGAGAACATTCTAATGGACATTGTGGTAAAAGGCACATTTGATGTCATGCCCAATCACTGTTTGGATTACAGTTATAATAAAGCAACAAATCTTCAACTTTCTGTTCACTTCCTGTCCATTCCCATCCTTGTAAAAATATCTTATGTAAATTTTTTGTATTCATATATTCTCTCTTTTGGCTTTCACTGTCCTGATGTTTGTATCTAAAACCTTGGTTTTGATTTCTTTGAATAGCTTTTATTTCTTCCTTCCTCTAGCCTCATAAAACAGGCAGAAAAGTTGATATCACTTCTTTATTGTACAATTTCTTTGTACACTTGTATCTATTTCTCCCTTTTTCTAAGGAAATGAGATTCTCTATAAGGAAATCTAGTCAGCTGTCCAACTTCTCTTTAATGTTCAAATAATCCTATGAAATAGCTTAAGTAATTGGTGCAAAATCCCCTTTAAATTTTCACATACAATCTTTTAAGCTCAATATTCAGTCACTCTGAATTGACTGATCCAGGAGAGGAACCCAGATATTGGGGGAGTAAAATTTCCAGCATCTTTAACCTTACTGGCTAAAAATTATATGAGTTGTGGTTCAAAAACATTTGGGAACCAGAGTTTATCCATCTCTGAGTGAATGAATTTTCTTAAATTCATTCAGCACTGTGACTATTGCCAGAAATCATAAAAAAATCTCCAAATCCATTGGCTAAGCCATTTCCATCATCTGTTGGAAAGACTGGCATTTGCCCCATACCTAATTTCTGGTTTTTCTTCACAGATCTCAATTCATTCCAACAAACTTCCAAATGGATTGATGATGTCAGAACAGAAAGAGGAAGTGATGTCATCATTATGTTAGTGGGCAACAAAACTGACCTTGCAGATAAAAGGTAAATAGACACCTTCAGAATGAAAAGGAAGCATTGCAGTTACAGAAGGTGTCTCTTAATTTGTTTATACCGTATACAGAAAAGTTGAAGAAAGACAGTAAGTCTCATACTGTGGAAGACCTCTAAGGCAGGGGTGTCAAACTGCTGGCCCGGGGCCGGTTGCATCATGCAGAGGCCACGCCCACCCCAGCTGTGGCAATGCAAAAAAAAAGTCACGATATGTCGCGACATGTCACATGACGTGGCGAGTTTGAAACCCGTGCTCTAAGGTCTCTTTGTCAAAGGAAGTGATTTCCTAGAGTAGTATTTCTCCTTGCATTTGTTATGGACGTAGGTGGATCCCAATTCCAAGATATCCTGTTTTCCCCACTTCCCCACTTGCATTGAATCAGCTACCGTGTTCCCTCTGTCTGACTCTAGGCAAATCACCATTGAAGAAGGGGAACAGAGAGCTAAGGAACTGAATGTCATGTTTATTGAAACAAGTGCAAAAACGGGATACAATGTAAAACAGGTAATGCAATGTTTATTTATTTATTATTTATTTATTATTTAAATTTATATACCGCCCTATCTCCCTTACGGGACTCAGGGCGGTGAACAGGCAATAATAAAAATCACAATAAATATTGAATAAAAAGCCTGCTCTAAAATACCCCATATAAAACCCCTAGCAAAGCCCAATCAAAACTACGCCAGGCCGGCCGCATGGAATAGATGGGTT